GAAAGTATGTGACCTGCTTGTTCGTTCAATACTTTATTTACAATACTAGTAAAAGAGCAGGCCCCAGTTGTTCAGAAAGTTGGTTAGGGCTATCCATCGGATAAACCTTTATCCAGTGGATAAGTATTTAGAGATTTATACCGTTGATAGCGCTATTCACCTTTTGAACAACTGGGGCCAGAAGGATTAAAAGTTGTCCATGGGACAGTTATTTTTTTCTTGAACAAATTTTTTTCTTATAATCTGATAAATTCCCTACGATTTTCTGAAGTTTAATTTTTCCTATTTCACACCCCAGGTTAAGCTATTTTTCGTAGAGAAAAGAAACGTAAAATTCTCTGAACCGAAAATGTGATACGAAAAGGAATCAGAATAATTCTCACTCTCTCACTTCTCCGTTTGAATGGAGGGCTTATTGTAAATGTTATAGATTTATTGTATTGTGTAAAGGAGTGAGAAGGGTACCAGCTTTGTGTGTAGGTTTTTGGCTCCTTCACAAAACATTTAGATCCACGTCTCTAAACTAATGAAATAGACATAGGGGCTTCAAATAAACTCTAAATACGCTGCAAAAGAAGGCAAAGGAAAAACGACAAGAAAAGGAAATTCCAGATATTTTTCTTCTTTTCCCATAACCATATACTCTGAAAAGAGAACTTCCGGTTGTTTCTTGCTCATAGTACGTTCAAAAAAGCAGTTGCTGGAATTGTATGTAATGTGAAAAGGGTCATACAATGCACCTGAATGGAACAGCTAGACGTTAATGAGAAGAGATAACAAATTAATTGTTTTCGGGAACTCAATTTGAGAATTGTTCTGTTTCAAAAGTGAAAACAAGAAAACCCAGTCCATGATTGTGACTTCCCTGTCCACAAGTAGTCTTTCTTTTTCCTGCTCACTTTGTTTATATGCCAAGATTGATTGCCTATTTGAGGCTAATGAGTTGTTATTTGAACTTGTGAACTTACTTGCATGACTTGGTACATTCAACGAGAACTTAATAACTTCTTTATACATCTTTTATCAACAGAGAACTGATGTCAGAATGTGATGACGTTTTAAGCCAGTGCCACATACATGTGGCACTCAAAGGCTCACAATTCGACAATGAAGGTACTGTGAGATACTTGTATGTACGCTTCTGGAACAATTCCAGACTTTCAATATCACTTTGGGCCTGCAATTAACTGCTGTTTTGTAACAAGGCACTGGACTTGTTTGAAGTAAATGGTAATAAACTTTGCCTATGGTGAATGAGCATATTAAAAAACATAACATTTTTCACTTTACTGTTGGTAAAATGAATAGAGAGAGAGAAAAACAAACCTTTAACGTTAATTGAGCTTGTGCTGTACATGATTTTCTATTATACTTCTTCTGGGTGTTTTCAGGCTGCCAGTCTCTGCCAAACATTTGTACCATTCTTTATTCATTTGCTTGTACTTTTACTTTCTGTATGTAGAAGTAATGCGCGGCAGAGAGAGAACGGGGCAGATGCGTAGGTCCGTGTGTACCAGCCCAAAATGTCATCGGCCAACATGGTGGTTGGGGACATAATTTCTGGTAAGTGTATCAACTTGGTGTAAGGGACAGATGAAAACACTAAATCGGACTAAATTAACCTTTGACATATTTGTGAGCAAGATCCAAAAGGAAGCCCACGATTTGTTATTGAAATTATTTCTTCTTCTTATTGCTACTAATGTTCTCGTTAATAGCAGAGCTCCAAAGCCAAGGAAATCTACCCATCCCAGAAAATTTGGTAATCATGTGACCGTACACCGCCCGTCCTTCCGCACCACTGGTAGCCAATGTTTAAGCTCATACTTTCTAGCTAGTTTGGGAGCACAGGAACACTGATAATACACCCATTTTGGACATCAATGTTGTGATCAATTAACAGCTGTCAAAACAGGGTATCTGCTGACCAGTATCACTTGACCGTATTGCAGGTTCAGGTGTTGACCCATCTAGGTCAAGTATTTTTTGGGAGTTATCTGCTAACAAGTTACTAGTTTTCAAATGATCGCAGGCTCAAGTTTAATTTTTTTAATTCATATGAAATATGTTGTGTTTATGTGCCCCACAAAGAAAATTTTGATTTCAAAGTGACCTGAGATGCGAAAATTCAGCCAGCTATGCAGGAAGACCGTATGCCCACACCACAACAAAACCCATGTTTACTTACACACTTTCTAACCACCTTGGGAGCCCAGGAGAAAACTGATTGCTCATCAATGTTGTGATCAATCATGGATTTCATGGATAATATCCATGGATCAATTGACAGCTGTCAAAACAAGATATCCGCTGACCAGTATCACCTGACCGTATCACGGGCTCAGGTGTCGACCCATCAAGGTCGAGTACTTTTTTGAAGTTATCCACTGACAAGTTACTAGTTTTCAAATGATCGCAGGCTCAAGTTTATTTTTTTAACAATTCATATGAAATATGTTGTGTTTATGTCACTATGGCCCCGCACTATTAAGATTTTGATTTCAAACTAACCTTGGATGCGAAAATTCACACTCTACGTCCAATTTTTATGCTCTGTTTGGTCAAAATGTGACAGGTGACTTCATGTGAAAAATTTATGCAGCATCTTAAATCTTGTTTACTTTGACAGCTGAAGCTGACAGAGTTTTTGTCTTCCACTGGATGTACACAAATGAACTACAGCTGCTATCAACAGTCGCTTGTCAAAGTCGGAAATCCGATTTGGAATGGCATTGTTTTCGTTTTTCACCTTGCTTGAAAAGCCTGAAGCAATACTGCCATCTCCGGCAAGACAACACATGATGCTACCACTGAGCTAACACTATCCTTGCTTGTCGTACCTTTGAGCAGTCAACTGGTATCAAAGTTGTATGTATGGATTTCAGTGACCCCCAAGGAGGTAAGGGAGTGATGGACAGGTTGGCGGCCACTTGCAAAAACCACATCCGAACATACATCAACGCGGGCAACAATGTCACAACAACAGCGGAGATGAAGGAGGCCTTGTTATCCTACGGAGGAGTGGAAGGCGTCTGAGTTGCTATCCTGCTTTCAATAGAAGAAACTGTGGAGCTTCAAAAGATATCTGGAATAAGCAAGATAAATAACTTTCTGTTCACGGAGGACTCCCTTCAAGCTTGGCGTACTTATGCAATTGGTCCTGGAAAGACCATAGCCTCGGAAAAGGTTCCAGGTCGGTGTCATTTCTCTGAAGTTAAAAATAAAAAGGGAGAATGTCTTTAACTGGTGGGGATAGCAGACTTCCGTTGTTACTCCCATATGTAGGTATGGTACAAGCTATTGTCACGGTATTTTGTAAAACGCAGCACATGAAACAATGGAGATGTAAAAGAAATATTTTTTCCTTTAATATCAATTTCTTGAAAATTTTGTTAACGTCACTGGGATAAGGTTTTTGCTACTACACCGCACAGAAAATAACTATTTTTTCCAGTCACTCATTTCAGTAACTCTGCTGTAACGTATGCTTCATATTCCTACTCTTTTGACAGATGTGACCTATAGCTGGCTTACTGTTTCTTTTACTGCTGGTGGGTTTAAACCAATTACTCTAAAATCGCCTTCAACGCAAGCTAGACCCCAGGCAGCCCCTGAAGTTCCCAAAGTTCAGCAAAGTGGCCCTGAAAGGCATCTGTCTAGTGTTTATTCGGGCCCTAAGGAAGGTTGTGTGAAAGTTTTTTAAATAGTGTCTGCCCTAGAACGTCACTTGTCCTTAGAGGCCTGTACCTTGTCTCCAGAAAGGCACACCCCGATGGATTTGGCCAAACATCAATACGCCACCTACCTACAGGAGGGCGTACGGCTTATTCCTGCACTGCGAGCAGTACCAAGCTCAGTTGGCAGTTCACATCAAGCTGAGGACGTCAAGGAAGGGTGGGTGCTGAAACAAGTGAGGAAACCATACCGTTTTAACCAAAAGCGGAAAACCTACTTGGAGGAAAAGTTCAATATCGGCCAGTCCACCAGAAGTAAGATTGACCCTGCCTTTGTAGCAAAAGAAATGTGCTGTTCCCGGTGCAAAGATGGGGAAAGGTTATTCGTTGTTTCTGAATTCCTGACACTACAGCAAGTTTCCTCCTTCTTCTCGCGACTGGCACTAAAAGTGTGCCAGCAACAGGTTGAGGTCTCCCAAGAAGACACCTTAGCTGTAGAGGAGCAAAGAAATTTCGCTACTACAAACAAAAACGTGCTTTCTTCTCTGCAGCTCCATCATCCCATTGTTGTTGACCCGTACAACGTATGCTCTCTGGTCAATAAATCTGAGTTTCGGAAAACGAAGGTGGCACTGCTCCAACATCTTTGCGAACGCTTAGAGGTGAATACACCTGTACCAGCAGTGAGGAGGAAGGTGCCATTCGTGGAACTTTTAGGAGAACTTGTAAATAGTTGCCCTTGTAACCCCCGAAAGTGAACAAATTAGCGTACTCCTAGTGACTGGGGCTATACTGATTTTCTCATGTAACTCAAGTTAAGTTTGTATTTGTTAGTGAGTCGTGGTTGTTAACGCTCCGATGTACATGCAAATTCATACCCCCACTGTGGTACAATGGGGGGGGGAGGGGGTGGATAGAACCCCTCCCCAGAGTTTTTGATATGTTTTTGAAACGAGTTTACCTTAAGTCGAAAGCCTCTTCTTAACAAGATGAGGTATATTTTATGGGTAATGGCACTGCTGGAGGCCTGTGATGTCACCAACAATGGTTGCCATCTCGGATTTTACCAAGAATTAGAATTCAGGATAAAACCGCAAGAAATGGTAATTTTTTGTGCTTTACATGGAAGATGACACATAAATAAGCGGTTTGCAGGATTTTTGTCAGAAGATTTACTTTTATTGTTGAAAGAAGGTGAAAAAACATGTATTTTCACCCAAAATTGGCTTGACCACCTGCTACTTTTTATGTCATATTTTGTAACCATAGCAGCCGACCATCATCAAACTTGCCTCAAAATCTGCGCGAGGGATGAACGAACAACTCCTGAAAACATCAGATGCTGATGTTTCACCCTTTGGGAAAAAACCCAAAAAAACCTAATGGGGGGAAGGCAAACCCCCCCCCCTTGTACATCCGTGGTTTAACATCCCAAGACTATCATTCGCGTGTGAATGAAAGCGGTTTTGGAATTTTGGTGGCACCATTGATCTAACATGCGCAGTTAACTTTGACTCAAACGAACAATAACTTCAGAGCAATATTGCCATATACACATTACCATTCTTTCAAAAGTAGAATAAGTCCACTTAAGCACTTACTCGTAAAAAATTTTTACCAGCAGTAAAATGAAAGTATTTTATATAGTTTCATGTTATTGCTAAATGACACCTGCAGTTCTTTTCAAAGTTTCATACCCATCGAAAAACTGAAAAGAATTATAGCTCATTCATTCATTATTATTCATTGTCATAGTTTCTAATTGCGCCTGTAATGACAACGGGGCCACCTTGGGCATGACCCGTAAACAATGGTTTGATTTGAACGTGATTTGTGAACTTTTACGTGGATTTCATCATCGGCGAATTTGATAAGGCAAAAAGATTGGTTCAATAGTTCAGCCGTTGCATGTAAATAAGCCTTCTTTTTTCAGGCAGACAAATGTTAGCACGTATAAAGACTGCCTTAAGTCAATTAGGCGAGAAGAAGTATATTGTCCTAAATTTCCAGGAAAACCAGTTAGTTTTGGGCCGAAAAGAAGTTGGTTAAAACTTTTTTCAGAGAATTACCCAATTGTTAACGTAAGCGTGAAGAAATTTCAGAAATGATTTGTAATGCAGAAGAAGCATCCGCAATATTTTGACATGAAGCACTTCACAAAGGGACATGGGTACCCTTTAACCTTAATAGAGAGTCTTTAATAGAATGACGGCAACTTGAATTGTACCACATGGCATATTTTCCTCACCATATTCTATTTATTTTGTCTTCAAAAGCCTTAAAATTATTTGGCATGGTTCTTATCTGCTTATTTCCCAATATGAAAAATTATCTGTTTGAATCTGACTAGTTTGCTGTTTCAAAATGAACAAACGAGAGAAATTTTAATTCGATGCTCAACTTTTATTTTGTATGTGGATTACGTGCAGTCACCTATTCTGCCCTACAGAGATGTCTGTACACTGAACGAAGTTAGGCTTAGTTTATTACAAGCAGACAGGTACAACAAACAGGTTTTAGACCTACTGAATTTTTTTCTTTTTCGGTTCAAGTTTGTTGCACATTCGAAAATCAAATATTTACACTGTAGCAGGAAATTACCAGGTCGTTTAGTTCGATTGACAGGTTTTGTGGAAGTTATAAGACTACTGAAACCAACAAAAACCAGTGCTTTTTAACGCATTTTACATATTCTTTTTACACTGGGGTGTGATTTATCCTTGTCGGCAGAGTATATTTTCAGCAACATATATAAAGTCGCTCAGTTTTAAACTACAATGTCAGATATAAACAAGTTTTAAAAGTGTTTCAGTGAATTGTGGCTACTTGCAGTTGAAATGAACGAGGTAAGAAAATTCTTATAGATCTGGTGTCCCCTTTGAAGATACTACGCTGTTTTTAGCGCCTTTAAATTAAAAGTTAGGTGCAGAAACTCATGGTCAACATTTACACTACCAGAAGTGCGTTGTCTTCTTGAATGTTGCATGCAATCACCCGATCAAATACAGTGTTAATCTAAATAGCCCTTATAACAAACTGAAAACATTTAAAAGGTTTTACGAAGTTTTCGCATTGTGAGCTTCTGTTAAAGAAGCTTAGTTTACAATAGCACTTGTCTGCCCTCATTTCCGGCTTGTTTGTCACCTTCCCACGTGAGAAAATATGCTCCATGTTTCAGCGTCTCAGCGACGCGCTTTTGTAATGCCACAAGAAATCTTTTAACACAAGAAACAGCAAACAATGTGCTTTAAAACAGTGCTTGTTTCATGTTGAAATTCTATGTACCAATTTGTTTTTTCGATGGTGAAGTTAGCTCAAATTTGCCATTTTGAAAAGAGCCGAAACCGTGTTTCTTCTGGCGGCCGGCACAGTCACATTTAAACAGCTTGTCTAAAGTTAATTGCTGAATTATAAAGCACAAGTCTATGTCTGTTTTGTGACTTGATTTCATTCAGAGATATTATCCCGTTTTTGTGTATGAGCACGAAGAAAGTGCTCGATTTGCGCTAATTTCATGCTCGAAAGAGTGCTAATTTACCATTTTTCAAACTTTGCCCGATTCCTGAAAAAATAAAATGCCGTCAGAAGTTTTGATGTAATTTTTGAAATAAGTGTATCATAGAGATTATTTGGGAAAAATAGGAAATTAAAAAATCCACGACCGTCAACCAATTCTCATTGGCTCTTAAACAACTATATGCATGTTTGCGTATACATATACCTAGAGTTTTCAATTTATATTGCCTTATTAACATCTGACAGCCTTGTTGCAATTGTTTATTGAAACGGTTTTTGGAAAATTATATAGACATGAGCTTGTAGATAA